GCTGTGCCACAGAGCCAAGCCAGGAAGGGTACATTTTTAAAGAAGTGATGAGAGAAAGATTTTGAGTCCCTAGGGGCAGCAAATAGTTGTATAAGGCAAATAAATGGTAGAGAAAGGCCTCTTAGTAAAATTAGTCATGTAAATTCCTCTGATACTGGCTAATAAAGGTCTGTCAAAAGATAAAATAACAATAGATTTAGTTTACAGATTTTAAAAGAATAATTATTTTATTTAACTTTATTCATTTATTTAGAGGGACAGAGTGTGAAAGAGAGAGAGAGAAAGGAAAAAAGTAATAAAGCAAGCTGCTAGGTCCAGGACTCAAACCACAGTTAGCCACGTGGAAGTCCAGCACCCTTAACCACCACATCGCCTGCTGGCTCCTAGTTTACAGATCTTAATTGGCTTTTATTTGATTTTTAAATTGGGCAGCATTTCAGGGTTGGCAGATGGCGAGGTAGTTAAAGGCACTAGACTCCTACATGGTTGACCGTGATTTGAATCCCAGAACTGGCAGTTTGCTTTCTCACGTCCTCTCCCTCTCTCTCTCTCCATCTCTTTCTCAATCTCTCTGGTTCTGTCCCTTTCTGGTCAAATTAAAGAAATAAGTAAATAAATAAAATAATTCTTTTAAAAAATGGGCAGCACTTATTATTTTTTTTAAGAGAGATTTTTGCTGTAGGGTGTGTGCATTTGCCAGAGAGACAGAAAGTGATAAATCACCCTGGGGGGATGGGGGGATGGCCACGCCGCAATCCCTTCTCCTCCATTCTCTTCTCAGCATCTTGGACACACATGTACACACTCCTGGCATGAGTTTTAAGCCACCGATCCAGCACTTGAACTGCCTTTGACTACGTGGGAGTCCAGTGATGTAATCATCTGCTGGTCCCTGGACAATTTATTCTATAAAATAGAATGAGTATTCTCATATGCTAAACAGAAGAGTTTGGCTTTATAGACACAAAAGGGCTGAAGAAAGCCCAAACAGAACAAAGCAGATTGATGTTTTTTTCTTTCTTTTTAAAAATAAATAATTATTTTATTTAACTTAATTTATCTATTTATTTTAGTTTGACCAGAGGGACAAAGTAGAGAGAGAGGGAAACTGAGAAAGCAAGCCACTTGTTCAAGTCCGGGACTTGAACAACGGTGGGCTATGTGGGAGTCCAGTGCCCCTAACCACCAGGCTACCTGCTGACTGCCAGATTGGTAGTTTCAAGGTTACTTTTTCTGGTAAAATTAAAGCAGAGGGGCCTTTCTTATGTTGGCTAAAACAGGTTTGTTTGGAGAATTGGCTAATACCTCTTCCTCTCTCTCTTCTGATTTCTTGGGAGGTCAGGTAAACAATTTAGTTTTGGCTTGGTGGATGGAACTTCAGCATAAGTAACTCCATTTTGGTTTGGTTGTTGGGCCTAGTGTAGAAACTCAATCTGAAACAAAGGACTCTAAAATATCTTATTTGGTGGGTCTAAAGTTGTCTTCCCCCATTAACCCAAGTAGAGAGGTAAGGAGGGACACCTTTGCCTGTGTAAATACATGTCCTGCTTTCATCGAATAGGAGAGGGAGGACAGGGAGCTTTTCTTATATCTACATTTTCTCAGTTACCTTCAGTTTGAAAGAATCCTTATGCTAGGGGCCAGCAGGTGGCGATGGTTAAGGCGCTGGACACTCCCACATGGTTGACTGTGATTGGAATCCTGGACCTCGTGGCTTGCTTTCTCATGTCTCTCTCTGGTCAAATTAAGATAAATTAAGGAATAAGTAAAATTAAATAAATAGTTATTTATAAAAAGAAAGGATCCTTATGCCAAAGAGGAATATTTTGAAGCGGTACATTCTGGCCTTCTCAAGGTACACTGCTTTTACGTATGTGTCACTGCTGTCTCTCTTCCTTCTCTTTGGAGCACTCCCACGCCCAGTCTTCCTCACTTTTCACCATATTCATCTATGCAATAGTCGCCACAACATAGTGATCTCTCAGTATTTGCTACCCACTGGCCTGCTGCTTCTGACAGGACTGGCGATTAGCAGTGTGCATTCTCTGAGAGGATGCGACCGAAGGGACAGGCAGGGAGAGGAAGGAGGAAATCTGGAGTGAGCCTCGCCCTGTGCCTGTGACGTCTTCTGAAGGAAAACAGTCTTTGGAGGTGCGGGATGGACTCGGAGCACCGAGGGGCTAGCGACCAAGGGAGGGGCGGAGAGGGGGAGGAGCCGGGCGGACCAGCGCGGGACCTGGGTTGGCCTGCGGCGGGGCGGGGCGGGGTGGAGCCGGCTAAGCGCGCAGACGCGCGGCAGCGGGAGGACTGCGGGGTCCTGGTGGTTGCCCACAGCGCTCAGCTAGG